TTTTCAATAAAGGCTGTACTACTGCAAAACCCGGCTTCATGGAATGTCCGTTCCACATTTGTCGAAAAGAATAATCCAATACCAAGCAATCTTGTCATCTCATGATTGTAAACTATCCAGCAGGAGGCACATGCCAATAAAAACAAACAGTAACGGTAAATTAATCAACATTTGATTAATAAAAGTGGCGCGGTAAATCTAATATTTATTTATACCTGTATTTATCGTTTACATCCAGTACGTATTCATTTTATTCATTATTATTATTATTTTATTATTATTTTATTTTATTATCTTTATTATTATTATGATTTTTTTTTTTTTTTTTTTTTTTTAAACATTTATTTTTCATTTAAATATGTGCAGCAAAGTTTGCTTTGTGCTGAATTAATTGATCCACCCCTTTTCTTCCAAATACTGTTATTTCTGCCTTTAATTATAATTTGTGATCATCCCTCATCTTTATAGGAAACAATCAAATATATATATATGCTCATCATTTACTAATTTCCCGCGCGCATATATCACTATATGCCGTCCACACATCGTCCGCCTACAACCTTTTTTCTCTCGTCTACAAAGTCTTTATTGTAATTTAAATTGATTCCCATATATGGTAATTAAACCCTCGCATTTACGTCATTTACATCATTTATATCATTTAATATCATTTAATATCATTATACGTATCATTTATATCATTCATCATAATGAAAAAAAGCGAAAAGGTAAACAAACTTCTACGTTTATCGTCATTAAAAAAAGGTTCAATTGACTGCCTAATTAATATATATGTTTAATTTTCCTGCTGCACAAGATTTGTTTTTCATATCGATATGTATACAAAAAAAATAAAAAATAAAAAATCATATAATTATTTGCATGGTCCTATTTTAATTACTCTTTCGGATTGGTTTATTTTTTTGCCTCAAATTATTTATAAAGGTTTATACCTCCTTCATATTTTGTTATCCATTATTCGGTAATAAAGGTGAAGAAAGTTTTCATTTCCATTATTATTTAAATATATTATAAAAATTATCTCATCACATCATGTATATTAAAGTATCACTAAAAAATAAAATAAAATTTTATTGAATTTATCACATAAAAAAAAATAACCTTACGTATTTATTCCATATAAACAAACAATAAATGTTAACCTTCTATTATTTTATTTTAACTAAATAAATCTCAACTCCTTACGAGAACAATATCATTATAAACAATATTAAAATTTTTTTCACAATAAGTATCAAAAATTAAAAATTTGTTTATTACTCTTTTTGATATGGATATTTTTTTTTACGCCATAAACGTTCAGCTTATTTTTAATGTCAGATGTAAAGTTTATCGGTTATAACACGCATAAAAAACATCAATAAAACAAACATTTTATGCTGAAATCCTTACTTTAAAAATTTCATAATCCGTTCTATATCGTACCACCATCGAGAACCAATAAACCCTTCGTAATCTGTGTAACAATAGTAGATTAGTTTTAAAAATTTTTTTTTTTTTGGCCTTTTGATTACGATTTTTTCAGAGCCTCATCCTTTTTAAGAATGTGTAGATTTTTATTGTATAAAGGAAAAGCTTCAATTCAACTTGCTCATGTAATAATATTTTTTGGTTAAAATCATGATTGTTTCAGTTATACATACATTTAAATATATATATATATGTATATGTTTAATTTATACTTTATTAATAACAGATAAATGTTTAAAATATTTATGTATATTAGCTTCTTACTTATCCGGCTCACTCAATTATAAATCAATCATTTGATTCAAGATTGAGATTAGATACAAGGTCGATTAATGGTATAGTATTTTTTTAAAAAAATTCTTAAATAATGTAACTGTTGCATATTATATTAATATTCTTTATAGGTGACGGTTTTGGTGTAGGTACTGTATATTGAAACCATTATATACATATTTCTATCAATATTATCAATATTGAACAAATAAATATATGTTATAAGGTTGGTATGAATCAAATCCTAATGTGTCATCAACACCATGTATATTTACTTCAATCACTCCTGCTTGGAATAATCAAAATTTAAAAAGACTTGCTGAAAAAATTCAAAGTTCTTTGGTGTTCGCTCATGTTAGAGCTTCTACATCCGGTGCTTTGTCTGAAACTAATTGTAAATTTTTTTAAATCTTATAAATCTTAAAATAGTAATTTTTTTGTTTCGAATTATCATAAATATACATACTTACATAATTTTATATTAGGTCATCCTTGGCAATTTGGTCGTTTAATGTGGATGCATAATGGTCATATCGCTAATTTTAATAAGGTTATAATCATTAACTCCGCTGCTATTATTAATTTAACTTTACATTTTACACAATGCTTATAATTAAACCATTGTAAACTTTATTTAATTTTTGCAAATTTAGTTTAAAAGAAAATTACAACAATCTTTAAGAGAAGATCTATTTTTATTTGTTCAAGGAAATACCGATTCCGAGTGGGCTTTTGCATTATTTCTTAATCAAGTAAGTCTTGTGTCTCTGCAATATATTTTCATATTTTATTTTATTTTATTTATTTATTTCCTTACCTTACATAAGCTTGAAGACCCAAACAATGGTCAATTTGATCATGAAACTTTAAAAATTGCAATGTTAAAAACTATTGATCAATTAAATAATTGGGCTGAAGAAGCTGAAATTAATGAGGTATCTTAAAAAATAAAATAGTTTTATACGTTAAATTTAAAATATAATCTTTTTTTTTTATTATTAAATCTTTTAACTATTAAATCTTCATCTTTTTATAAATAAAAAAAATTAGCCATCCTTATTAAATTTTGCTGTAACTGATGGTAATACAGTGATATGTACCAGATATATTAGTAGTAAAACTCAAGAGGCTGCTTCTTTATATTTTTCTTCCGGTATATATTTTAAATATATTTTATATTTATTTATTTAAGTTTTAATTTTATTCGTATTTTTATAATTGACATACGTATTAGGAACAAAATTTACTGAATATAAATCTGGTCATTATAAAATGGTAATTATTACTTATAATATTTTAACCTTATTATAAATATTAACTTATTATTAATTTTATTTATATAGACAAAATCAGATAAACGTGAAGATATTGTTGTTGTGGCATCAGGTATTGTTAAAAAAAAGTGCGCCAACAAATTATTATTTTTTTTACAAATTGCTTGCTTACTTAAAAATTATAACTATATATATATATATTTTTTAGAGCCACTAACATTTGAAAAAGCAGATTGGTTAACTATTCCAACAAATACTTGTTTCGTCATCACTTCAAATTTAAACGTTTTACAGTTTCCAATTAAAGATAAATTTTATAATGTTAATAGATTAAAAAAAAAGTGTATGTTTTTTAACAATTGTAATACTTGTAATAATAATAATGAATTTATATAAGATAATACTCAAATAAAAATTTTTACGTATAAAGTTTTTTATCTGTTATATATCGTTTATAGTATATTTTCCTATTAGGTATTAATTCATGTTATTATGAACCTAAACTTATTAACGTAACTAATTTTTTTAGTATTTTTTCAAGTAATGTTAACATTAAATATATAATAAATTTAATATTATAGTTATGATTTTTATTAGTAAATTTGACATATTTAGATTGACAAAAAAATCTTATAATTGCTAGGTAATACATATCATTATTATTATTATTTTTTTTCTTAGACGACCTTGCTCTTCATTTATTAAGAGAAAGCATATAAAATGCTACAACAGAGAATATAAACTAGACTAAACTAATTCTATAACTACCCTTTTTATTTAAATCTGAACTCACTCAGCTACCTAACATGTTCAAGTGTGATCTGTTATAATAATAAATTTTCTTACTAAAAAAGTAGTTTGTCTATGCAAAAACAAACTTTAATTATCAACAAAAAGCTATTATATATCTGTATTAAGATGATCTAATAGTTTTTAAAGCTTAACTAATTATTTTTTAAATCTACTTCAATTTAGTTATTTATTTTTGTATTAGCTAACTCCTGAATCTTTTTTTCTTTATTTTTACTAGATATTTTTTTTTCTTTACTGGATTTTGGTTTTCTTTGTTGGCTTAATTTTTGCTTAATTTGCTTTTGTTTTTTCTTTTTAATTTTGCTTTTTTAGTCTTCAAATTAATATTATTTTTTTTTCTTACTCTATTATTATTTCATATTGAAACTTCTATAATTTTTCAAAGAAATTAGACTAAAATAGTTTTGCAAACTAGCTAACTATCTTTTTAGCTTTAGAACTAGATCCTAAGATTTTTATGATTTCTTTTAAAAGTCTAAGACTTGTAAAACTTCATATATAAAATCTTTATTTGCTATATTTAGCTTTTATATTTGTTCTTAAAAATGATCTTATCTTTTTTTCAACTTTGATTTTTAGTTTTTTTTTTTCTTTGACAGTCATGTCATAAACTTTATTAAATTGTTAACCATAGCTATAGCCAAGTTATATATGATTTTTTAATCGACCTAATTTCCTAAGCTTGACATCATCTAGCTGCTACTAGAGTATTCAGGTGCGACCTGTCGCACTAGTTCAAAGAAGACTAGAGAACTATATCTGACTCTCTTATATCCCACAATTAGCTACTACCTGACTAATAATAACCTTTTGTAGAGAGAAAAAAAAAAAGCTAACCTGATAGTTTTCAACTCTCTTTTGTTAGATTTCGCTAACAGAAAAAAATATGAAAACCAATACAAATATATGAAAATTATAGAAGTAGGTCCACTACCTGGCCTAATCTTCTATTTACATAAACAAAAAGTCAAAACGTAAAATAAAACAAAAATAAGAAAAAACAAAGCTAAAAGAGAAAATAAAAAAGACAGAATAGAAAC